AATTTATCATAGCCGAGATTTGGAAACAGCCTAAGTGCCCATCAACAGATGAGTGGATTAGAAAACTATGGTACATCTACACAATGGAATAATACGCTGCTGTAAAAAAGAAGTAATTCTTACCATTTGCAGCAGCATGGATGGAACTGGAGAGCATTATGCTAAGTGAAATAAGCCATGAAGTAAAAGAAAAACACCACACAATCTCACTCATTCATGGATAATAAAGAACATTATAACTGATGAACAAAAAGTTAGGTACAGAGGCAGAAAAGCATTGAACAGACCTCCCAATTACAGTGGGAAGGCTGGGGGGTGTTGGTGGGGGTGGGTAAGAGATCAACCAAAGGACTTACTTTAAACAATCAAATAAAATTTAAAAAAAGAACAGCAAATTTTTATGAGTTAATTTTAAGTTTATTAAATGTTCTAAAGAAATATGATGTCTTTTTAAATAAAGAAACAGTTTGCTCTGCAAAAAAACAACCCACAAAAAACAAAAAAAAAACTTATTTATTGCCAATAGGCCTATAAGAATTCAAGGAATGTCCTCAGCCTAGTGTCTGAAACATAATAAGCATTCTGTACAGGTTACCTACATATGACTAGGATCATTGTGATCATCTCAGAATAAGCAGTTACAACTTTTTTCCTTTTTAGTGGTTTTGCTGTGATGTGAAAATGGGAAATTATAAAAATTTGAGAATCTTACAAAGTATTAGTTCTGAGTCCATTCTCCCTTAGGCATTTATTTCTAAAGGGGAGGGGAGCTCACAAAATACTCCTCTCCTTCTGAGCCTTTCACGGGGCCTGCACTCCATGTAGAACTATCTGTGTCCTCCTTGGGAGCTGAGCCATTCCTATTCTAAGAGACTTCAAGCTGGGTGATTTCCATACTCCCCGGGCTGTAGGAGTTTACTACACCTACTAGTATTCTTTATTTAATCTTCACAACAGTCCTATGAGTCAACTAATACACTTTTTTTTTCACATAAAGAAACAGTTGCAGAGAAGTTAAATAACGTTGAGTAAAGTTATTCAACTATCTAATGGCAAAGAGGTCATTCAAACCCAGGTCTCCCTGATGCTAAAGCCCCAGTGTCTCCTATTACAGCATGCAGTCTTTGGCCATTTCATCAGAAAGGGACACTAAATACATATTTCTTTGTTTCAGGGGAAATTCTAAAAACATGGCTGGAATCTTTTGACTAGCATGTATCACTAAATAAAAGTGATGGGAGTTCATATTCCCTGATATGTTCTAAACACAACAACCACATGAAGTCGTTACTATCGTCCTCCTCATTTTACAGATGAGGAAACTGAGACAGAAAAGCAAGTAACCTGACTAAGGTCATACGGCTGGAATGTGCGCCATGGCCCCAGAGTCTGGGGTCTTCACTTCTACACGTGCTGCTTGGGTTGGATAATTCCATTTTGTTTCTCCAGATTTGTTCTCTACCCTTCTCCATCAGGCTCTCTGGGAAGCGGATCTTTATGGAATCCCTCAACAGGGCTCCTTGGTCTTTCACCTTCCAGTTGGATTGGGGGAAAGGAAGTCACCAGGAAATGAGAAGCGATGAAGACTTAGTCGATAATGGAGCTTTGTCTTACTGTCGTTTCCCAAGAATATAACATCTGTGAGCAACTCTGAGATTCCAAACTTGGACTTTTAATGTCCAAAGGAAGCATTAATTAGATCCACTGACAATCACCCAATTTACAAAGAAATGGAGGAGGAGGACTGTTTAGTTCCGTTTTCATCTTCAAAGGTGAACTATTTAAGTACATCCTTGAGATGAGTCTTAACTTGTGTTTCTAAAATGTAATACTGTACAATGATTTATAGACTACTCACGCTTGGCCAACTAATTTCTTTACTTTGGTTTCCCTTTTATGTTAAATAGAGATGAAAGATACGTAGGTCTTCTACTTAATCATTATTTAAAAGAGAAAAAAAACAGACAGGAAAAACTTTAAGTTAGCTCAAGAGAGTTAATAAAAAATATATATATACCTCGCTAGAGGTTGGGAAATTGATGAACTAGGTTAAGAGGGGAAAACACTGTTCTCTCCAGTATTATGAAAAATTGCTCTTGAGTAAAATGAAAGGACTCAGTATGTGTGTGGCTTCCCTTAAGTTCAGTGTCTATTAAATATGCAGATATCTCAATAGCATCTAGTTTCCCTAGAGTTTATAACGTTTACATAATAGGAATATTTGGAACAATGAGAAAAGAAAAATGGCTAAATTATACACTACAAGCTTTAAAAATCCATTTTTAGCACTGTCACTCTGCTTTTCCTTAGCAAAACCTTTCACCGTGGTGGCTTTCTGTAGGAACATACTGGTTTATACAGTTCCAGTAACCCCTCTGCAATACCTTTTCCTCGCTCACAAAGAAAAAGAAACCATCTCTCCAGCATCTTCCCAGACTCTCCCACTCAAATTTATTTCCCAGCACCAGCCAGCCATCTGGTTTCTAACGAACACAGGGGCCCATTTTCCCCATTTGAAAGCAAAATAACATTAAAACGATTGTAATAATACTAGTTAACATTTATTAGCCACTCACCCCGCACCAGTCCCCGTGTGGAACAGTTCACATGCATTATCTTATTTAATCTTAGAACTTTCCAAAATGGATAGTTCTATTATTCCCATTTTACAAACAAGGAAACTGGGGCTTAGAGAGACCATGTCACAAAGAAATATAGAATTTTATCAGTTAGGATGCATTTATTTTTGGGTTACTGAATGCTCAACTCTAACTGGCTTAAGCAAAAAGACCATTTCCTTAATTTTGGAGACAGCAGTAGGACGGGTTCAAATGCTAACTTAATCCAAAGGTTTTGGATGTTCATAGCTCTCTATTCCCCCTTGTATTTGTTTCATGCCTGGCTTGGATGGAGACGCCTGCATCAGATCTGGGATTCATATCCATGTCGGACAATATCTGGAAGACGAGAACTTGTGCAAGACACCCTTAGCTCAATTCCCCTTGAGTCCCAGTGGGCTAGAGTAGATGAGATCATCTCTCCTGAACCAATTGGCAAGGGCGTTGGGATGGCTATGACTGGTAGATAAATTAACAGCCCATCCCCACTGGCATCAAGCTCCACTTTATAAAAATGGGCAGTTTTAGCAATGCTTCTCTCTAATCCTATTCTGCCTAAGCTAAGTTTAAAGATCAGAATGCCAGTTAAGGATGTGGGAGAGAAACTATTAACAAACTAGTGGGTTAAATTTCTCTAATACATCTATAAAGTTTTTTTTTGCAATATATACCATGTTTTTATAAACTGTTATTCTTGGAAATGGTTAAAAATTATTAGGTCCATAAAAATTGCGCACTGGGCCACTTATTTAATAAATAAGGCATTTTCTCTGCTTAAGGCAACAACAGTATTTTCAATTTTGTGCAAATCAATCTCCCTAGGTATATGGATATAAGTGTAGTTATATTCACAGAATATACCATGGAATTTTCCAGCTACGGGACCCTAATAAAGTCGATGGTTCTCCCTTAAAGTTACACCCAATTTATACTGGGAATCTCCCAACTGTGCTTGGCTGCTCACAGATTCAAACAACTATTCTTCCAAAAGCCCTGGCGCTGGCCATGTCTCTTTCCACCACTTCTCTTCCCTAGTATCTCTGCTGGGAACCACCATGTCCACTGGGCGTGGCATCCTCTGCTGGCACCAACTCCCAGATGTCTGTGCTGAACACCACTGCCACCTCCAACTAAGAGCCTCACAACACCCTAAGTGGGTGTGGTCCTCCCTGATGGGAGACAGAATGGCACTCTTCCTGGCTTACACCCTACTCTGGGCTCACAATATTGACTGTACTGCAGGGGCTTGCAGAAGCTGAGATGAAAAACAACTGCAACCAGTGTCCTGTCCCTCGTTAGGGTCAGTCACACTCTGTGGGATGGGACAGGAAACTCAGTTCCTGAGAGCGTCCTGTGCTCTTCCCCCACTCTTTTCTTCCCAGGCTCCCAATTCTCATGCAAATGTTTATACAAATCACTGCCAAGGCCTTCCCACAGGAGTTGTCAGACCCTGCCCAGGCATTTCTGATCTCTACAGTGGACACAGTAGGGACTCAAGCCATAACCCTCTCTGAGGCTGTTTCTTCCAAGAAAAAAAAAAAATTTAGACTAAAGTAACCTTCCAGGTTTGTATATTATCTACTGATTAAAAAATATATTTTGCTAGATTGTTTATTCTAGAAATTTGCAATGACTTATCATGATGAGATAAGAAATCTTTAGCTATAAGTGAACTACTGAACCATTTCATTAGAGCACAAAGGAGTCTGCCATGAAGTTAATAGAATGAATGTAGATACAGTGACCATATCAATCAATTGTGAGTTATGCCTACATAAAACCTTATCTTTACAGTGCCATGTTCCTAGAAACTTAAGGGGGAGCCAAATAAGTACTTATTTTTTATCACAAGGAAGCAAAGGAAAAGTAACAAAAAGAGAAAAAATTAGGACAATTAGACATATCTCTAACACGTTTTTAAAGAAAATACCAAGATTTTCATCATATGTAAGTTACAGATTTTATTACCAAAAATGTTTTTAGAAGACTAGTTTGCAGTTACAGTTTTTACTTTTAATCTTAGAGATCAAACTTCTTTAGAATTTTGCTCAATAACTAACTTTTTTCAGTAAACAGGAAAGCCTCATTTTACCAGTTATCCAAAAACTATACATCAGAAATATGAATTGACCTTTGGAATCAAAAAAAACTACAAAAATGTTCAAATCCCACTAAGTACATTTTAAATATATTTATGCTTAAATCTAAATAAGTTGACAGTATAGCATTATACAATCTAGGAATTAATACTAGATAACCCCCCGCATTGGTTTAATGCCTTTATTGACCTGTGGCCTAGGAAAAGAAAACCTTTTTGTTCAAATTGGTTTTGGAATCAAATCTGTTACAATTAGGTTGGCCTAGCTGATGTTGGTAAAGTACCTTATAATAAAGTAGACCCGTTTTATGACACTCACCTCATTAACCTGTTTTTTGTCCAGGTGGAACACTTGACCAGAACTTGTGGAGGCAATTTCTTCATAGACTTTGTATCCAATATGGCTCCGATCATCGCAATCTCCAGTGAGCACAAATACCACCTTTGATTTTTTTTAAAAAGGAGACAATTTAAAGGGTTTTCAGAAATCAATATACATTTATTGAGCACCTCTTATGCGTTAACATACTACTAAACAAGTGGAATATATAACACATATATTTATATATTCCTCCCTATATCCGAACACTTGGCAAAGTTCTTCCTACTAAACAGATGAAGCTTATTTTGTCATCCTTGTATCCAAACAGGCATGTGACTTGCTTTGGCCAGTACCACAGGCAAAAGGGACATTCTATCCGTTTTGAGCCTACACTCAAGAAGCCTTAGGTATTTCTACTTGATTTCTAGTGTTTCTGTCTTGTCCATGAGAAGAGCATACCTATATCAGCTTTCTTACTGGTCTTAGATAAGAGAATGAGAAGCCGGTGAGGCAGAGTTAAGTTACCCCAGATATAAGCCTATATAAGCCAAACTCAAACTATCCCCAGACATACAAGTGGGCAAGTCTAACCAAGCTCACCTGAGCTCTGCTAACATGTGAGAAATAAATGCTTGTTGTTTTAAGCTACTGATAGTGAGAAATGCTTGTTACACAGCAGTAGCTAACCGATACAATTAGGAACTCTAACTCTGACAAGATTCCACATAGGAGATGACAATTTAAATAAAGGCCTTTTGTGCTGGTCTATGTTTTTCTCAGTTATAAGGACACATGGTAACAAGTACCTTAATTAATCCCCAAATCACTTCTTCTCTGTATAAAAACAACAAGACATTCAAATACTTTGTACAAATGTCACATATCCACTTATACACATAAATTAAATGATACATACATATTGGAGTACACAAACATGGATTAGCAGTTGTAATGATTGACATTGGCATACATGGTCAAAGAAGAGAGACGCGCTCTCGCATGCTGTGTTCCTTACAGCTGTATTCAGATGGAACATCCAGGGGCTGCTTCCCACTCACCTGTGACTGTTTCTGTTGGATAAGCTGCAGAACCTCATGAGTGAGCCGATAATCCTTGGACCGTGCATCAGTGAAAACATAGATGAAAGAACCAGGAAGAGAAATTTCCAAGGCAATTTTTATAGCTCCAATACTCATTTCCGGGCAATCACCACCACCCTGTCGAGAAGCAGGGAGGGGGGAAAATGCAATTATTTCAGAAGCAGAAAAGAAAGGGGTGTTTTAGTTATGACAGGTGGCCTTAGGAGCTCAAGAACTAAACAAGCTCTCTTCACTTTGATTTTCTGTCAGTTTGCTATGGGATTAGCCACTTTGTATATGAGAAGCTAGAAAAGATATAAAGTGATGTGAACATGAAAAGAAACTGAAATTGCACTTATAAATAAATTCTAAATTCACCCAAAATACACAAAATAATGGAACTATTATATATTTCTATTGAATTTATTGTGGTGACATTGGTTAATAAAATTACATGTTTAGGTGTATAATTCTATAATACATCATTTATACATTGCATTGTTTACCACCCAAAGTCAAATCTTCTTCCGTCACCATATATGTATTTGACTCCTTTTACTTCCCAGCCCCCTTCCTTTGGTCTGTGTCTATGAGTTTTCCTTGGTCTTGTTTGTTCCTTTGTTGCTTTCAGCTTTATATCCCACATATGAGTAAAATCATATGGCTCATTACTTTTTCAGTCTGACTTATTTTGCTGAGCATGCCTACAGCCATACCACCCTAAACACACCCGATCTCTTCTGTTATATACTTTTAGCTAAATGTGATGCACTCTCCCATTCTCTTTCATGACTATTTAACATGTCACTTCTTTTCTTATATCTCCTCACTCTTACTTCATGACCTTGCTTCTATTTTCCTGAGGAAATGGAAGCAACCAGAAGAGAACTTTCATAAACTCCTGCTGCGATTCCTCTGAGCCTACTTGCACAGCAGCCACATGCCCTGCCTTCACCTGAAGGAATCGTATGTGCTCCCAGGTAAGGCTGAGTACTCACCTGTGTCTAACCAAGGACATGGCCCCTGTGGCTGTCTCCTCTCTCTACTCCAGCACCAAACCATTCATCTTTACTACATCCTTCCTACCGGCAAACAAACACACTGGTATATCTCCCATCCCCCAAGGTTTTGCTCCAATGTCACCTATCACGGAAGCCTCCCATGACCATCTTATCTAAAATACACCCTCTGTGTCACTGTTTTCTCTCTGCCTCATTTTTCCTACTAACACCTGATCTCTGAGTTTTATTTACTTTTTCTTTTTAAAAAAATATTTGTATTGGTTTCAGAGAGGAAGGGAGAGGGAGAAAGAGATAGAAACATCAATGATGAGGGAGAATCATTGATCAGCTAACTCCTGCATACCCCACTGGAGATGGAGCCCGAAACCCAGGGATGTGCCCTGACAGGGAATCGAACTGCGACCTCCTAGTTCATGGGTCGGTGCTCAACCACTGAGCCACACCAGCCGGGCTGCTTTAAGTATTGAAACCAACTTTATTCTCCTGAACAGAAAGCACCTCTTTGAAACCCTGAACCTCATAAACATGATATTTAATATTGGTTACCACCAGAAGGAAAG